ATAACTCAACTCAAAAGAAAAACCATAAAATCCAATTTCTTTCACTTTTGAATACTTTGTTTTACCAAAACAATACAGATGGCCACAAACACAGCAAAAATTCAATAGTGCTTCAGTAGTGTTTGGAGTCATGTAAGTTCTGCTTTCATATTAAATGATAATAATAGTAAGAGCTAACATATATTGAAGACTTACTCTGTGCCATGTATTGTTATAAGCTCTTGACATATAACTCCTTTAATCCTTTTATGAGGGAAGTACTTTGATCATCACTCCCATTTTATAGAGTCTCAGAGAGATTAAGTAATGTGCTTAAAGTCAAGTTGAATGCCATATTTCAGTCGTTCTCAAACTTTTTGGTCTCAAAACCCCTTTATACACTTTTAAAAATTGTTGAGGACCCCAAAGAACTTTTATGGGGGCTATATCTATGGATAACTACCATATTAGAAGTTAAAACAGAAATTTTAGACATATTTATTAATTCATTAAAGAAATATTCTGCTTAAGTTACTTAGGGCATAATAGTGAATAAAATGAAGTTCTGTTCTCACTGAATTTATATTCTCTTGTATATTCATTAAAAGAACAAAATTATACTTATATGTCTCAACAACACTGAATCTCGGAAACAAATATGTAAGAGAAAAAAGCAAAATTCAATGCCTTAACTATATTATGCTACCATTTGTGTAACTCTTAAAATGCACATAAAACAATACAGTAAATCATACATTATATGATATATCATAAAAGCATAAAATAGCTGAATGAAAAAATACACATAAACTTCAGAATATTAGTCACCTCAAGTAATAGAGGAATGAATGGTAATGGGATAGGTGGAAGCTTCTAGTGTAACCATAGTATTTTGCTTTTTTAGTGGAATTTAGAAGGAGGAAATCTGGGTTAATTAGGGAGCAAGACAAAATAACACCAGTGATATTGCCTCCCGTGTCATTTCATTATCTTGGAGTTTGAGTTATACATGTAAGCTATTTTTCTATCCTTTTTTGCTCTAGACCACATAAATGTATCACTAATTTCCACTCCTACCCAGAAAGAAATCAAACCTAAACAGGGAAATATCCCTTTACATCCTTCCTAGAAGGTCCATATTAATTAATGCATCCTTCGCCTGAGTTGGACATCATTTTCAAAGTGGTGAGCTACAGAACTCAGCTATCTAGCTTGGAGAGTGGCTGGGGAAAATACTGCCTGTGCTTGTCTGAGATGATACCTCCTTATTCATAAATTGCTCCCTTCTTAACTCAACAATGATGCCTTCCTACTTGGATGGCTGCCAGGTTCTGGCTCCTTAAGTAAAGACTTATTATGACCATGAATAAAATCATAGACAGCTCCAGCCACTCTGTTGGAGCCTGGGACAATACCAATTAATTATCTGTTTGGAAACACAATTTTCTCATCTGTGTAAAACAGGGATACTCGTACCTACTCTCAGCTCTGCCCACCCAAGTTGTCATGTTGATTAGGTAGATATGAAAAGACGTCATAAAGCTTAAAATATTTACTGTTGTTGCTTTTGGTAGCTCAAATATTTGTTGTTGTTGTTGTTGTTTTAGCAAAATTTAAATACCATAAAGAACTTATAAGCCTTGAAGAGACTATGCTTGGTAAATAAAAGTCTAAAGCAATAAGCTTATTTCATAAGAAAATTTAGAATGCATTCACTGCAAGAAGAAAAACAAATGTCTTTCAAATCTTTTTCCAAAGCTTAGCTCAGCTATAACTATAATTTTTTAAATGGGAATAGTCACAACTCATCTATTTCCGAGTTTTTACTTTAGAAATATAGATCAGAGAAGAAGTTAGCTAATCACTGTCAGGTTTAAATTCGAGGTCATTTATCTGCACAAAAAGAACTGACTGAACATGGATTTTTCTGTGTCAGCATTTCATAAGGTTTATACTACATAATATTGATTTTTTTATACAAAAGAGAACATGTAAATTATTACCTGTCTTGGCATTTTTATAAAATCTATTACACTCCATTTAGTGTTTGGTGTGCTGAAATAAGACATATTACAGAACAAGAGAAATGACTATTTTGACTTTTAAGATACATCATTGAATGGTAGAAGTTTTATGCAGCACTCAATTCACTTCTCTAATAATTTTTCTTTCCTTTTTGCTTCAGAGAATTCAAAAGGACCATTTTTCAAACAGAAATGGTGACATGCAACCAATAAATTATTATTTTCTGAGATCCAAAATATGTCTTTTTTATAGTTTGTGGTTACAAACTCTCTGTTTCTGAATTACTAATTGTCAGTTTGGAGGGCTCCGTCGACTGCCTACCCCATACCCTCTCTTTTGCCATATTTAGCCAGTTCCCAGTGTTTTTGGCGCCCAGGACTGGTTTCACGAAAGACAATTTTCCCATGGACCTGGGGTGTTGGGGGTTGGGGAGGGAGATTGGCCGGCAGATTGTTCCGGGATGATTCAAGCACGTTATATTCTATGGGTTTCATTTTCACTTTCTTAATACTGTCTTTTGATGACA